CCCCGGAGTGTATGCTATAGTTGAAGGAAGGATCATTGGTTTATGTGTTTTAATTAATTTTTTTAATTGTGTACAAATAAAGAAGTATTTTTCATATATTCCTTTATTGATCATCAGCTGTGTTTTCGTTTTTGATACCTGAAAAGCCATCACACGACGTGTTTTATCATTATGTGACCGTGATTTGTCTGTCTTTCTCTTGCAGTGAATGACTTCCGGCTTGTTTCTCTCAATTTGCTGCACGCTCACTTTAAGAAGGCCCAGGATCAAGAGCAGATTGGCCGAGTGGAATTCCTCCCTGTGAACTGGCACAGTGCTCTCCATGCTGATGCCACTGGTGTAGACAGGTATGGCTGGGGCTGCAGGGGAATTGCTGTTGGCTTTAAATCTGAAGTTTAATCTGTTTTATATTTTGCCTCCCGCAGTTCCGCACCCCCCATACATACCTTATTTTAGACCCAGGTCTCTAGCCAGTGCAGGCAGTGTGGCTGGTGGGAGAGGCCATCATGCTGCTGTACATGGAAGCAGCTTGCTTCAGTACTCCGCTCAAAAGCCCTCAACCCTAATGCAGGCAGTGTGCTGGCTCTTGTGGGGAGTTCTACAAATATAAAAATGCCTTGGGCCCCATTCACACGTAGCGATTTCCGCCGCGATATCGCGAGAAGTAATTGATATTCAATGGAGCTGTCTTAGCTCCATGTCGCTCGTCGCGGTCGCAAGTCGCTTCTACAGGACCCTTTTTTTGGCGGATTTTACTTTTTTCTAATGGAGCCCGACGGAGAAGGTTGTGCTACCGTCGCTGGAACGTCGCCCCGAAAGTCGTGCTATCCCGGCCGCTGCAAAAGGTATGTCGATACGTGTGAATGGGGCCTTAATGGGCGGGTGTCAGTCTGGAAGAGTGGTTGTTCCTAAACAGGCGTCATTTACATGCAGACTGCCCTAGGTAACGAAAATTAAAGAACTGAAGTCCACTGAATGAAATGGGCAAGTCAGGAACAGTTAAGGCTGTGACACACTGCATGCGAAGCAGCGCGGTGGCGCGCTGCCTTCGTGTGTAGTGTGTCATGCCATTTTCACTCCGGAACCGCGAATCACGATGCCAACTCCATCCGGTTGTTACGCACAAGCTGATTGGCTGAAGATGCAGTCATTCATCTGGCTGCACTCGGCTCACACACTGCATGTGAAGCTCTGTGCCTGACGGCTTTGCTTCGCTCTGCACGGCTTCATATGCAGTGCGTCACAGGCTTTAGGCTGAGGAGGAAAGGGGCAGATGTTGCTGAACGTTTCTCCAGCCAGGAAATGAGGCGGAGCTCTATCTGACTTCCTGCAGCTTCTAATGCACATTGTGAGAAGCTCGCAGTTTGCAGTACACCATTCCAGTACAGAGGAGGCTGTACAAGTGTACAAGACTGATGGGAAGAACGGATTTAAGTACAATAAATTGTTCGTATGCACAGTAGTCAGCAGGGTGGTGAATCGGGGTTGCCATTTTATTTTTCCCAGTGGCCACTCTGTTGGATAAACCTGCTGCAATGCAACGCACAGAATGTGCACGTATGTGAAAGATGTTCGGTTGTTGGTCAGCAATGTCAGAACAGGGAAGACGTATAATCTAAGATCTTGGTTCTCAACTGGTGGGCCATGACCCCATGCTCAGTGGGTCGCCACATGCCTTCCACTTTTCTAGGTGAGAGACTCCTCAGCCTCCCCATAGCGCAGCACTGTCCGTTTTTGTGTGAGCAGCCATTCAAATAATGCTGCCCGGCCCTACGTGTCAGCTTGAGGTGGGCTGGAAGTATGATAAAAAGGGAGCTCCATCCATATGTGCATTGCTTAGAGCTTCCACATGTGCCCTGTAGAGGTGCCTAGACTGGACTCGCGTCACTCGCCCAGAGGATAAAATTCTAAATATTAACAGTCGCATATAAAGCCATCCACAACTCCGCCCCCGGCTATATCTCAGACCTTGTCTCAAAGTATCACCCTAACCGTCCCCTCCGCTCATCCATTGACATCCTGCTTTCCAGCTCCCTTGTCCACTCCTCCCATACTCTCCTCCAGGACTTCTCTAGAGTCTCTCCCATCCTCTGGAACTCTTTACCCCAACCTGTCCGTCTATCTCCCACCTTGACTGCCTTTAGGCGTTCCCTAAAGACTCATCTCTTCAGGGAAGCCTATCCCACCTCGACCTAACCACTGAACCTTCACATTCTGACATAATTCATTCCCACAGCTACCACATGTATCATTTCCCCCTCCCTTTAGATGGTAAGCCCTCAGGGGCAGGGCCCTCCTTACCATCTTGTCTTGAATTGTATTGTGATTGTAATGTCTTCCTTATATTGTAAAGCGCTGCGCAAACTGTAGGCGCTATATAAATCCTCTATAATAATAATAATTCTGGCTCCTGGCACTTCTACGGCTATGGATGGAGCTCTGTCCCAGCACAGCAGCCCACACTGGACCCCGGGCTGAGGATTCACTCCAGTTCTCATAAGGTAGGGAGACTGGGTGGATCTTAAAAAAAGACTTATCATTTTTTTGGAGTGATTGTGTGTGTCAGTCAGTGTTTTTGAGGGCCCATTCACACTTGTACAGTGCGTTAATCCCAAAGTCCCATGCGGTAATGCACTGTACCACCCAGTCGCACCTACTGCGCATTCTGGTGTGGAAGGTGTGTTGCGTTGACATTAATTTGAAAGACACCCCAAACGCACCTCCGCCCACAGTCCGATCGCCTGCACCCGAACGTTCCTTAATGCAATGCCGTGCATACCATTGCAGAGCGTCTTGGGTAGCGACTTAATGACCAAGAACAAATGTGGGTCCTGAGGTTACACAGGTTGAGAACCGCTGATCTAAGAGACTTGAACCATGGAAACTATTGCTGGTGCCACATGTGGTGGCTGAGGCATCTCAAGAACTGCTGACCTCCTGGGATCTTCACAGATTGCGGTTTCTGGAGGTACCAGGGAAAGACGAGATAAAGAAAGAAAACCTCCAGAGAGTGTCGGCTGTGTGGGTGATAACCCCTGGCTTATGAGAGAGGTCAGAGGAGAACGCTCAGGCTGACGGGAGATCCACTAACGATTCTTTTCAAACCCGTTATAAAATGACTTTTGTAAACGAATAGCAAATGAAACCTTGAAGAGGATAAAGAAGAACCGCACCGGCATCCACTACTAGCAGCTAAGGCAGTGGTTCTCAACCTGTGGGTCGCGACCCACAGTTGAGGGGGTCCCCACGTGCCTTGTGCTGCTCTAGGTAAGAGGCTCCTCCAGCATCCTCCTAGCGCAACAGTGTCAGTTCTCCTAGATGGCGCTGCAGCAGCAGCGGCCGGAGAGGATCAGAGAGAGGGGAGCAGGCAGGAGTGAGGGGAGGTGAGTGCTTGATCACCACAGAGCTCGCAACCGGGCACCACAGAGACCGCACTGGACGCCAACAGAGAGTTCCACTAGCCACCTGAGAGCCCGCATAGCCTCCTGAGAGCCCACACAGATACTAGTATTGGTGCATCCCTAAATTTTGCAGTTGGGGGTCACCACAACTTGGCAAATGTTACCAAGGGGTCCCGGGCCTGGAAAGGTTGAGAACCACTGAGCTAAGGGTAGGGGAATGAGGCGGCAATGGACACAGAATCACCAGGAAAAACATGGCCTGGTCTGACAAACCTTCATTCCTGGATGGCAGGCTCAGAGTCTGGTGTATGCAGCATGACTCCATAGCTCTGCCCTGCTTAGTGCCTGATGGTGGCAATTCAGTTGTTCATATTGTTAATGGGCCATCATTTCTATGGAACGTTTCCAGCATCTTGCTGAATCCATGCTGCTGCGAAGCTGTTCTAAAGCAGAATTATAATCCTAATGTGAGAAATCGCTGGCGGGAAGGTTTGTATTGCTGAACAGGCTGTGTATGTCTGTTTGATGGTCCTCTTCTCTTCTGTTTGCCAGCCCCTCTTCTTCCGAATATACTTGGAGTTTGGCATGGGTGGCTCAGTGTGCATTCTAGACATGCCTTGGTGGCGGGATGAAATTACTGTGCATATGGACAGCAGTTACATTATCCCAGCCTTGCCAATCACTCACTCACAAGGTGAAGATGTCCATGCAAGCGAGGGAGCTGTGCATAAGGGGATGTACATCTTTTGGTCTTTGGTTTAGTTTTTGGTTTGCTTTTCACTCAGCCTCATAGTTCTAACCGACCTGTGACAATGAGACTGTCACAGGTCGGCTCAGTAGATCAGGAGGTGAGCGAACACATATCGGCGTTCGCTCACCTCTCGATACAAGGTCCTACCTTGTAATTGGTTCCCAATATAGTGGTCTTGACACCTACTGATTTTAAAACTATTTTACAAGAGTTTCTTTCATTTTGTGAATGTGCAGCAACCGCATAAAGCAGGACTGGGCAAACTCCGGTTCTCGAGCTGTTAACTGCAGTGACATTCAAAGGATTACACTTCCCAGTATCAATCGACTCCGCCAGTTCACGAATGAGACGCTATTGGACTTGTTCTTCTATAACAGTCCAACGTATTGTCAAACCATCGTCAATACAGTGTGTGGGGAGATGAATCGCATCTACCGACTTTTCCTGGAACGGAATCCGGCGTTCAAGGGACGGGTCTCAGTGACTGGACACAGTCTTGGTAGGTAACAATATACTGTATGCTTAAAGCAGAGCTCCCATCTCCTATCCTTTACAGTAGGGATGGACCTATACCGGTATTTCCGTATCGAGTACGAGTACCAATATTTTTTTTTTCAGTACTCTCCAATACCGAGTACCTGAAGTCCCATTCAGGAAGCCAGGCGGCGTGTAAAGACTCGCCACCCGGCTTCCCGATTTAGCAGGGAAGCTGTCCCCATGCTTCTCATCACTAGGTGATGAGAAAGCATGGAGCCGGCTTTCTGGCCAATCGCGAAGCTGGGCGCCGTGTAATGACGCGGCGCCCGGCTTCCTGATTGGCGGGGAAGTCGACTCCATGCTCCCTCGTCATGAGGTGACGAGTGAGCATGAAGCCGGCTTCCCGGCCAATCGGAAAGCCAGACGCTTCGTCATTACATGGTGCCCGGCCTCCTGATTGGCCAGCTTCCCGACCAATCAGGAAGCCGGGCAGCAAGTCATTACACGCTGCCCGGCTTCCTGATTGGCTGGGAAGCCGGCTCCATGCTCTCTCGTCACAAGTGACGCGCCGCCCGGCTTCCTGATACCAGAAGTATCGGGCTAGGCATCGGAGCATTTGAGTACTCGCCCAAATACTCTGCACCCATACTAGTATCGGTGCATCCCTACTTTAAAGTCAAAGAAGGTGACATCTTAGGCTCCATTCACACCTGAGCGGCTCACCGCGCGTATTCGGCTGCGCGTTTCCAGCTTTAATAGCCGCAAACGAGCAGCATCCACACGGACTAAAAAACATTAGCGTTTTCGTCCCGCATGGTTTTCCGCAAACGCTATGTGTGAATGCAGTCTTACTCTATTTGGATTGAAAATCACGTTTGGATCACATGTGCAACACCATGGATTAGTGCTGCACATGTGATCAGCTGTACGTGTGACAGCGCTCTACATTTATGCGCGCTATTGCCGTGCATCAGCCAGTGGGCTGCTGCATGAACGACAGACGCAGCAAAGAATTTCACAGCGGCTGCATCTGTCATTGGCAGTCCAAATGTAATTTGTTTGGGGACAAACATCCAAAATGATAGGGGGGGGCATGCAATGTAAAGTGAGTAGGAAGCGTTCTGGTCCACCGTAATGTTCATTCTGCAGTTAGCTGTCATTCTCAAAAACTGTCCAAATGTTTTTCTTTTTTTCTTTTGCTTTTATCGGTGTGCATCCTGCTAAATGCTTTTATTGAAGCTCTTGCTTTGTGTTCTCTTTACACAGGATCGCTGATACTATTTGACCTGCTAACTAACCAGACTGATCCCTCGCTGGGAAATCTCCAACGATTAAAGGTATATTTCTTTTCTTTTGATTTTGTTTTCTGTGTTTTTATCTGATTATTTTGTATCCCGCCACCTTGTAGGTCAGTGGAGTCATAGTTACATAGTATTTGAGGTTGAATAAAGACATTAGTCCATCAAGTCCAACCTATAGGATCTCATTATCATTCTATATAGCGCAAACTCCCAGCTATCTGCCACCCACGGGGATCGGTAGGTGCCGGATAACTGTAGTTTCTGGTTGCTTGAGATTTAATTGTAACTCTCAAGCATCAACCCCCACGGCCCCTCCCCTTTCCCACCCCCTCCCCTTTCCCCTGCCAGCTAGCTTCCGCAGCCGACAGGTGAATGTCAGCAGCCGGGAGCAATAGCCAGACTGCTATTGGCTATTGCAATTTGAAATAGCCAATAGCAGGATGGCTATTGAAACCCATTGATTACAGTCTGCTGCCAAACGCGGAATCTTGCCGCTGGTTGGCAGCAAAATGTAATTAACAACTAAATAAATTTTCGGTGATAAGGACGTCTTTTAGCTAAGAAAGTTTTTTAGTCTACCTATTATTATTAGTTACAGCAAAAAAAATAAAAAAATAGAAGACATATTATATTCTTGATTTTTTTATTTTTTTTTGCCAGTTGCTTGAGAGTGTCGGTTGCTTGAATGCCGGATAATGGGGAGAGTAGTGTAATTTGTCCAGCCACACCCTGTATGTTCTTCAACTGGCTTCTAGCTGTTTAAGACCTCAGCTTAGTTACTCTTGGAGCAGGACTTGGTGAGTATATAGAACAGTGGCTGAGTTCATTGGTTAGAATAGGTTAGGTTCAGGGATTTTGTGGTTTTGTATTTAGGGTGAGGTTTTAAGGAAAGATGTTAAAGTACATAGGTACATATTATTTGAGGTTTAATAAAGACATAAGTCCAACCTATTGTGTGTGTGTGTGTATAGGTCCCTGAGTGTTCTCATTCTTAAGAGTACCTGTACCCTTGTACATTACGGTCTCTCAGGAAATCGTCCAAGAGCTTCTTGAATGATTCCACACTATTTGCGGAAATGACTGCTTGAGGCAGCGAGTTCCAGACCCTAACCGCGCGAACTGGGAAGAACCCCCTTCGCCCCTTGTGTTTGAATTTTTTTTTCTACCAGTTTTAGGTGGTGGCCTCTAGTCTTTGTTACAGAATTAATCGTAAAGGAGAACTATGGGGTCAGGGCTTTTCCCCATAGTTCTCCTTAGGGTAACGGGAGGACACAAACTAGCATCCTCCCGTCACCCTAGGCTCAGTATACTGCGGTATACTGAGACGCCGGAGCGGATCCCGACATCGATGTCTGGATCCGCCCAGCTGCGTGAGTGACAGCTGGCTCTGCCTATCTAGAGGCAGAGCCAGCTTTACCCGCATCCTCCCCCGTCCGTTCCGCCAGTCAGCGCTGGTGGATCGGAGAGGGGAATCCAGCCCCTCCTTAGTCACAGGAGAGAGCCGTGACAGGATCGAGAGGTGAGCGAACGCCGCTATGTGTTCTACTGAGCCGACCTGTGACAGTCTCATTGTCACAGGTCGGCTAGAACTATGAGGTGAGTG